GCAATGCGTTTAAATTGCCCCCTTCCAAGCCAAACATAATAAGATGGACAATCACTGATAGAAGGGCTAGCCCTTGAACAGCCATGGCTCAGCACCCACGCGAGTACCTCGACAGGAAAATCGAGACTAATGTGAAAAGCCAGGCAGAAAAGGGGGTCCAGGCGGAAGAAGGCTATAAAGGAAAAGAAAGCGAAGCTCTAGGCTAGATTTTTGACGCTTTTCGACCGGCTTCGTCTTGCACCCCCTGACGAAGCCGGTCTGATATATATATATATACTATATATATACTTGCTTCTGTGCTGTTCTTATATATAAAATGATGGAATTTAAAAATCATATCAATACAACCACACACACCCAAACACAGTACTAAGGTAAGAACAACAGCACAGAAGCAAGTACTGCTGCAGAAATAATTATGTTGAGAGTGGTTCTTGCAAAAAGCTAATAATCCCTCTAATTTTCTTGAAATGAATTTTATTTTCTGGCCTAATTTGTTTGGATAGTCTAGATGCCCTCAAATCTTCAGCCTTTCAGATGCATTTTCAGTTTAGGGAATAGGAAAAAATCACACAGAGCCAGATCTGATGAATAAGGCAAGGTGTTAAAGCACTGGAATGTTGAAAATGTATCTGAAAGGCTGAAGATTTGAGAACATTCCGTCTATCCAAACAAATGCAATGCATGAACTTCTAGCCATTCCAATAGAGGACTTTATGCTGTGCTCCCAGAAGCTGCAGGACTGCTACCAGAAGTACGGTGAAAACTCATTAACTCGAACTTTTAAGGACCGGGCAAATCGGTTCGAGTTATCCGAAGTTCGAGTTATCAGGAATCCCCCCCCCCCCCCTTAAAAAAAAAACTCGTGTTAAGGTACATAGGGGGCAGAATGGCTAGGAGTGAGAGCAATAGATTGACAGGGCGAATGTTGGAGGCTTTTTTATAGCCGAGGTTTTTCGATTTTAATCCTCAGGTTTAATCGTCTCCACAAGCGTCTGTGTGGGAGGAGGGAGAAGCAGAAAAAAAAACAAATGAAACAAAAGAGCATTCTCCCGAATGGGTTTCTTGTCATTCATTCAATTCAAAAATCGAAAGTCCCACGAGAAGAATTTTTTCCCCCTTCTCACCCTGAATTCGAGTTAACCGTGAGAAAATTGTTATAGGGAGTGAAAATATATTTCGAGATATCCGGAAATTCGAGATATGCGAATTCGAGTTAAACGGAGCTTTTAACATGGTGTCCTATGGGGTTCCACCGGGACCAAGCATTGAACTTCGAGATAAGCGGAATTTCAACTTATCAGGATTCGAGTTAACGAGTTTTCACTGTATGTGGATTCAAAAAGGGGACTACTTTAAAGTTGACCCTAGCCCACAAAAATGATAAGTCATGTCCTGAAACTTTTGGATCAAACCTCATATATCACTGTGAGTATTCATGGCTTGGTAACTTACTGTTGGGTGTGCATCAAATTACTGTTTTGTGGATACCCTGTGACTTAGACACCCATCACCCCTCAACCAAAATGAAGCAGACACTTCACTTTGGTATGGGTCTGCACTGTTATAGATAATCTTTTATAGATTACAATGGTACAGTCCTTTTGCCAGAATGACAGTCTCTTTTGCAATAAGTAACATAGTTTTTTTCATGGTAACAGGCAAAGACAACTGTACATGTACATGTACAACTGGTTCAAAGTTCCAATCACATTATTACCCAAGGTGTCATGCTTTTTCATTCCTTAATCTTGGGTCTACCTCTACCAATAACTGAAACTGACCAGCTTTCAATTGTTCTGGAATCAATAAATGACTTACAGCTGCAGTATTCTCCATATTTTGGCAAATTCAGTAAATGAATAAGTACATAATGCAAGAACTTACACTTGAGTGTAGCAGGAGGTGCCTTCAGGGTAGTGAATGCAGCAATAGGGGAATATGGGCCCTGGCCACTCTCATTGGAGGCCGAAATGCGGAACCGGTGTGTGGTGGTTTCAGAGAGTCTTCCGACCTTGTGCGAATGTGAGGACCCAGTGTACATCACCTGCCAGCCACCCTTGCGAGGATTCTCCATTTCCAATGTGTATAACATGGGGGATGAGGGTGAAGATGAGGGTGTGGCGAGACTAGGATGCACCCAACGCAGTCTCAGTGAGTTGTGGCCTGCTGTGGTACATTCCAGGCGGGGTGGGAGGGGTGGAAGTGGGGAGGTTGTCACACGGCATGGATTTGACCACCCACCCACACCTACTCCATTCACAGCCTGTACTCGCACCCTACAACCAAGATAACCATTAACTTGAAATGAAGATCCAGTGGTGACATAACCTGCAGTATATTGTCAAATGCACAAATAACAAGAGGAATAAAGCAAATACAGTGAACCCTCATAATGATGTGCAAAGTAGATTCAACAGTTTATACTTGCCTATAAAGAAGGTTTGGAAGAACTGAGGACAAGATAAGTCCAAGAAAAATTACATCTCATGCTTGGCAGACAGCAAAAAAAAGGGGAGAGGAAAAATGAGCCCTATTTTCACTGGAAAAGTTCATCTCTTCACATTCAAGGCCATGTACTTAATGATGAAATATTTCTCATTGCCCAATTCTATTTTCTATTACATGCCATACAAACATAAATACCATAAATATATGTGGCACATCCAATGGATGGGTTACAAGAATATCTCCACAAAATTCCTCCCCTTCATTGTAGAATAAAGCTTTTCACCCCATTTAGAGTTGTGCCACAGAGAAAAGTGCAGATTTGTTTTTAAAATGTCAAAGACTTTTCAGATATTGATGAAGCTCTAGCGGCTGACAAGAGGAACTACTAAGGAGGTTATTGCATACTTGTAGGTGGTTTCAGGAAGCAGGTCGTCAACAAGGAAGGGTTCGGCAGACAATGCAGGTGCCTCCAGGGTTAGATCACCAATCTCCACATTGTAATGGAGGATGGGAGCTCCATTGCATGGAGGTTCCCTCCACATGATGGAGAGACTTGTGGGACAGGGTGTCACTCGAACTCCTGGTACCACACCAGGAGCACAAGGTGCAAGAGTGCAGCAGGTCATTGGAGAAAATGGACTTACACCGGCACTGTTGCTTGCCTACAAATGTCACCAAGGCAAAACTTTAACTTCATAGTAACAAAACCATCCACATCACATCATTAGTAATGACATAGCAACTTGATGCAAGCTGCTCAGTTTCATTACTGAAGTGATAGCAAGATGTAAATACAGGAATAAAATTAAAAACTAACTTGAATGAGAAAATCATCCTAAACTCATCCTAAAATGTGAAGATAAATTACCCACTAAGCAGCTAGATATGATTTTGTTTCAAGATGACAAAGGATGTTTATGCAGTTCAAGCACACAACTGTCAAGTTTTCAAGGGTTATAGTTTCTCAAAAGATTTAATATTTTTTTTTATAGGAAAGTCTCCATAATGTGCCCATCAATTACATCTTATGCCCAAAAGACTCAATCAAATTCAATAACCAGGGAAAAGAAAGCAAACCTGAACATGGTCAAATACAATATCCAAGGAAAATAAAGCAAACCTGAACACGGAAGAGATAGGAAGCAGCAGGAAGCAATCCCTTGATGTCATGCGAAAGGGCAGGGCCAATGTAAGCTGGGTGGAAAGGGAGGCCATTACATGACTCCAAGCGATCAGCACCCTCATCCTTTTGCACACCAGTTGTGAGAGCCATTTCCAGTCGGTACTCTGTGATGGCAGCTCCATTGTTCAGTGGCTCCTCCCATGCCACACTTACAGACGATGGACTCTTAGGGGTACATTCTGGTGCGGGTGGAGCATCAGGTGCTCCAGCCCCACTAACTACTTCCAGGGGTTCTGACCAGGGACCAGCCCCAGCCTTGTTGTAGGCCCTCACTTGAAAGAGATATGGTCTCCCAGGAAGGAGGGATGCAACAACACATTCAGTCTCCATCCCCCGATAAGCCTGGAGTGTTGTATTGTCTGGACTTGTCACATCAACTTGGTACTCACGCACTGGACTCCCACCATCATACTCTGGAGGAGCTGCAATGTCCATAAGTCCAGTCAACATCTTCCAAGCATTCATCATGGAGGCCACTCAATTCTCCACACATTCTCCCTGATATTTCCAACATGTACCAGAAATTGCTTAACCTTTTGCACTCCACAGCAGAAACCTGTTTTTTTATAAATTATTTCCTATTCACTCCACTCAGTATGGTTCAGAAAAAAGTGATTTTCTCAGGAACTACTGAATGAAAATGAAAAATTCTTGTTCTCAAACTTTGTACTCCTGAGTGTGAAATCTCTTTAAAAAAAGCTTCCAGGGTGAAGGCAAGGGTATTAAACTGGAGCATAACTGCTAATTTGTGATTTCACATGGAGCACAACAGTGGGGTGCAAATGGTTAAAATAGAAGAGTAAGGTGTCCTAGATAACAAAACACAGATGCACTGAGAGCATGAAGCCTGACAATAATAAAGTCAAAAAGGTTCTCAAGGTTCTCAGTCACATAATTGACATCACCAATCCTCTGAGTCTAACATTACAATGGAAGTATTCTGGAAAGAATTGACCTTGAAATCAAGATTAGGTCAATATATATCTTCCTTTCCCATACTTGAAGGAAAAGACAATCAAGTGAGGAGAGATGAAGAGACTGACCCCACTTCAGATGGAGGGAATGAGCCTTTGGTTTCCCAGTGAGCCAGGGAGGAGGACACTGGCCTGGGCAGACAGGAAGCGTGGTAACACGGAGTGGATCTGATGGCTCTGACCGACCCCCGCTGCTTACACAGCTCACCTGAGCAGTGTAAGGTGTCCCAGGGCTCAATCGTTCACATGTGAACTCTGTCTCTAGACCCGAATACACCAACTCGAAACCTGGCAAAGAATGAATCATGTTTCACTTCCCATCAGTGAGTTTGACCTATTGATCAAGGTCAATCCATGGTTCAGGGTGAAATACTTCTGGCATGTGACCAGTCGGGATGCAAGATAATTTCTTCACATTCCAATACAGAAGGTCACTGCAGCATTGTACAGGGTGTTTCAAAAGTCTGTACTCATGGGTATTTTGAATTAATTAAATTTCTTAATGAGTGCACCAAAATTAGTACAGAAGTACTAAGAAATATTCAGAGGGGGTTATGTGCCAGGATTGATATGTGCATGCAAGTTCATGGAATGCAACTTGAACATTTAATGAAATAAAGGTAAATTAGGAAATCTGCCTATGAGTCTGGACTTTTGAAACACCCTGTATACAGAGCAAAAAATATGTTACAGACTCGTATCTCATAAATATATTAGTCCATAAATATCAAATTCTTTTCATATTATAATGAAACTGCTTCATGGACAATTGCCCTTCCACTTCTGGAGGAAAGAAAATGCCTTAGGGGGATTGTAAGCAAGTTTACTTCCCTCCCAGTTGGTTAGCCATATAGATCAGTGTGTCAAGTTGTCTTTTGAAAAATGCTTGGTTAATTCACTGAGCTTTTACTTCTTACCAGGAACATAGATTTCGGATGGGCCAAAATGGTACAGTCGAACTTGGTTATAACGACCTCGGTTATAACGAAACCTTGGTTATAACGACGAAAGTGCCAGGTCCCAGTGTAGAGCCCATGCGGCACGTTACATTTTACCTCAGTTATAATGAAGTCTATTGAAGGTCCCACAGATGAAATCGACAAAGTTCATGTCCCTAATACATCATTCTTAGCTGAAATTTCCGTCATTGAAAAATTAGCATTGGTGAGCCATAACTTTATATTTCCTGGATTTGGCATTCCTTGAGAGTCATGTGGGTGTGGCTGGAGCAATGTTAGGAAGGGATAATCCCCAGTAACTAAGATCACCTTATCTTCAGTTGCCATTTGTATTTCTCATTGACAACATGGCCAATGAAAAACGAAAGAGGCAAGCCTTCACAATTGAAAGGAAAGTGTGCTTGATTAGTTTAATAGAAAGAGCTCGAAGTGAAGCTAACGTCGCTCGTGAACATGGACATCTGTTCATCTGTTTCCACAATTTGAGAAAATCATGACAGCTTCATCCGTGCTAATGAGAACATGTCACAAAACAAGAAATTTCTTAGGTCTGTTGAGATGACATCGACGAAGCTTTGCTAAAGTATAAAGTAGTTCAAGGTCCAAAGAAGTGCGAACATCACAATTAGTGGGTCAAACTTGAAAATGAAGCTAGTGCAGTATGACCAATGTAAACTGGAGTTGTAACGTTATATAACATCAATTTTGAAAACAGGAAAACGGAGTGCCAATAAAGGCAACCTCGGTTATAACGACGGTTTTTACATGGTCCCTTCGATGACGTTATAACAGAGTTTGACTGTATTTGGATTGAGACAGGGGGCTAAAATATTTTAGCCAAGACAGATACATAAAATCTTTACTATGGTCCTAAACTTTCTTTGCAGGGTAAATGGCAATTGAAAGTGAAAAAGAAAAAGAGCTTATTTGCAGGTTTATAAAAAAAAATTATTAATCAAACATTTGCAAATTGCAGGATGCATGGTCTGATCTTTTCATGATGGATACAACTGAATGTCACACTGCTTCCCCATACATAAATGTGTACAACATTAAATATCTTAAATTACAAATTAATGTTTATGATTCTTGCAAAAGATTAAGGATTTTTCCAAGTCAATTGACCCTACCTGCTCCACCATCCAACTCAAGAAGATACTGGGTAATCTGATCCCCTCCATCATCTTTAGGTGGCTCCCAGTCCAGGCGGAATGAGTGAGCATGGACCTTCCCCTTCAGCTGAAGTCTCAGTGGGGGATCTGGGGCAGCAGGAAGCGTTTTGAATGCTACCACATCCGACCACCTGCTTGATCCCTCCTCGTTGCAGGCATTTAGTCGAAAATGGAACATTGTGTTGCGAGAGAGGTTCTCCACCTAATGACAAGTAGGAACACATTCATCACTTCTCCATCAAGATGTATACATTACTAAGAAAATAAGACATCAGTATGGGTACAGACCAAGTAAGAAGTGTCAGAGCCATTGTAGATAGGAAGGAATCCATGAGGAGAACCCTGGGCTTCCATCTGGAGCGAAAAGCTGGAATCAGAAGGACGTCTCTGCCAGGTGAGATGAAGCGATGACACAGTTGGCTCTTCCACCAAGGCAGGAGGGAGTGGGGGTGGTGGCACTGTCCCTGATGTACTCACACTCATCATCTCACTCCACTCACTGTCATGAAGTACCATTATGATTAAATCCCTGATCAGAAAATCAATGAATTTTACTTTTGTGCGTGTGAAAGAGGGCGAGAGAGAGACCTAAGTCCAAATTCATTGGCAGCAGCTAAGCGGAAGCAGTAATTGGTGGCTGGCTGAAGGCGTGGAATTCGACACTGCTTTGAGGAGCCTGAGAACACCTCAGTGAATGCAGCACCAGGTCCTTGTCCTTCATCCCATTCCAGAGCGTAACGGGTGATCTTCCCACCATTATCAGGAGGGGGGTTCCACCTGTAATAAGGTTCATAGATGGTTCTATGACAAGATTCTGAGTTCCCAGGCATTCAAGCACCACCTTGAAGTCTCACCTCAGCTGAATGGCAGTTTTGGTACGGTTCAAGATCTTTGGTGCTGAGGGTGCATCAGGGGCACAGGACTCAGTGATGAAGCTCGCTGGTTCACAAGGTGCACCCCGCAGATCCTCGTACAAAACATGCAACCTTAAATGATAAATCGGTTTTCAGTCATTCAACAGCATCTGGACTATGATTAGGAGAAGATATATGCAGATAGGGGCAGACCGGATGAAATACTCTGAATGAGGTTTCAGGTCAGTGAGGCGACACTGGAGGTGAGGACCCAAGTAGATGGTCTTGTATCGGCCATCCTTCCCTCGGTCACTCAGCACCACTTCATACTGTAGATCACAGGGTTCCACCATTGGGACAGAGGGCATGGTTCCACTACTGCTTGCAGTCTCAGCTTCCACCTCACTAGACTTTTCCATGTTGGAACTGGAGGATGTAAGGTCAGGTGGATTCCACGAGAGAAGAGCACTGCGAGCCGTAACCTCAGACACTGATGGAGGATCCACTGATCCCAGGAGGTTTAATAGGGCCTGTTGGGATGGGTCCACATCTCCATCTTCAAGTTCTTCTTCCAGGTCATCTCCACTTCGGTCACGACGGGAATCTCCTAAAAATATTCCAACAAATTCTTTGCAAAATGCATAACAGGATGAATAGAGGTGAATGACTAATAGTAATTGATCTGTCCTTGCCAAGTGGTTTGAAGATTCCTAAGGGAAAATTTCTCTAAATTTGCAAATATTACTTACTCTACAGAAGTTCATATCTTTTCTCTAAATACTTGAATGAGAATATTATATTTAAAAATGAAAGAATCAGCCATTTTTATCATATATTAATCAAACCATTCTCATGATATTCATGGATGTGATGGAAATGGAAATCTGGAGACTGAATTGAACTATTGGAATAGATGCCAGCAATGGTTTGCCCATTCATATTGATAATTTCAAATCAGTTTAGGTGTGAAGAGATGTCAATTGTTAGATATGATATATTAAAAATAACATGAAAACAGGCTTGAAAAAAATTTTTCTTTCAGAACACATCACATCCAACATGGTCACAAAATAGCATTCCTTTCATTTCTAACTTTTGTAATTTTCAGGTAACTTACACTAATTCCAGGCTTTCATGTAATCTATATAATGAACACAATACTAAATTGATAGGTTGTGCTATACAACAGAAATGTGACCAAATGACTTTAACCAGAAGTTTCAAGAAATGTCACGCCTGACACTTTTCTTGGCACACAAGTACACCTCCAGCAAAAGAGAATATACAAGACTTTGGATTATGGAATTTTCAGTCAGTGCCACACCACTTGCTAGTGCAAGTGAGAGCACACGAAACTGTACTGTCGAGAGCTACTTAATGATAAGTGAATGTGTGACATCTAGATAATTTTCATATCTTTTGGATGTCAATCAAAAACAATTTATTTTTTTTTCTGAGAAGAGGCACCGGTGAAGCATGAACTTGGTGCCAATGCACATTTAAAAAAAGATTTTTCCCCCCCTCCTTAGCAGAGAAAATATGTTGTAGTTTACCTTTCTGTGGGGAGAGGGGCGGGGTGGAATGCAGGGAGGACACACTGGAACCCGAGTCATTATGCACGCCGTTCCCATGCAAATAACCGCTACCGATACTGTTCTGGTGAATGCTGTTGTTGTTGTGATGCGAGAGTCTACTATCACGCTGCTTCTGCTGCAGCTTCCTCCTCAGCTTTAAGTGCTGCTTCTGGGTGCGTTCGTCTTTGTGGTACATGGGGAGACCAGAGCCGGACTGGGGCGGCGGCGGGGGAGTGGATCCCGGACCACCTGCTGGGTGATGGGAGGACGAAGACACGGACGAGGCCGACGGGGTTGAGGTCATCCGGGCCTGACCCGCAGTTGGCACCCCACCGAATCCACCACCCGGGTAGGGACCTGGCGGGAACTGGTAAAACTGGTTCCCACTTCCAGCTCCTGCAGTTGCTGCAGCTCCCTGCAACATACCAATATTCCATGTCTCTCAGTCTAACTTCTGTCTCCGTATATTTCTCATTGATCTAGAGGGAAATTTGCAGATTGCACCGTTGAACCGTGCCAACTTTCTCAGACAGTTCAAACACTCTGCCAAAAATTAGACAAGAGGGAAAGGGGGGGGGGAGGGGAGAATAGTACCGCAACTTAAGCATGAATTCCCGCTTGACACTGACAGAGATTGATGAATCTCTGAGGTGAAAGAACTCCAGGAAGCACCCCCTCCAGTACCAATAGTATTGTTCGCGTGTACCATATATACAGAGAATACATTTCGCACTGGCAGCCCAAGCTGACAAATGAGCTGTAGCATGACGAGGAAATGAACCCGTGGCAATTTCGACTTGTAATTTCCAGGACTCATCATCAGGTGCATGGAGACACCTGTTCTAACCACCATTCTCATATCTGCTGCCATGTGTCGGGGGTACATGACATTTCCAGCACGGCAGCTGGGGGATGATACAGAGGAAACCGGAAGCTGTTGGCTCTTATCAACATCAACTCTCGTCTCTAAGCCCCCGAAGGGAGGTATGACCTTGAGCCGGGTTGGAGGATCCAGCAACCGTGTTCAATGACCTCGCCCCATTCAGAGGACGATATGCAGTATACATCCTAATCCCTTGCTCGTAGAAGAACCAGGTTCGGGACTACTGCACCAGGAACCACGAGGGGGACATCCGCCTAGGTATCTCATTAAGAGATCAAGCTTTTCGTGGGAAAATATGAACGTGAGGGCATGCCGCCGGTCCCCATGACGTCATTCCCATCTTGTTCATAATAGTACCAAGAGAAGGACGCAAACGGGAAGGACCGTTCCGTATCATGCTTCTCCCAATTTTTCCTCATCTAACGGAGACCCGCCATCAGTCGTTCATGGTCCACGACACATTTATGGAACTCAGAGAGTGTGACGCAGCCTTTTATTTCCTTTTCTTTCCTTTTTCGGCACCTAGAGCTTCCTTCTTTTCAAAGGAAGAAAACTCGTCACTTTCATCGGATCATTGTCACCCTGGCCGTCATGGAGATGAAAGTCCCTCGAACTGTGACATACGATGTCCTCATGGAAGAAATATTTGCAAACACGTACTTCCGTCTGTGTGCGTTTGTTCACTATAGACCCCCCGCCAGACACGGAAAAACGAACCGGATCTAGAAGGAAACGGAGCTGCACACAGATACAGATGTACACGTCATACAACACATACCCTGCCCTGCCTGGCACACTCTGTTCCCAAGATCCGAGAATGTTGTTGAGGCGGAATAAAAGTGGATTTATCAGGTCGTCCTTATCGCAACCGGGTCGATAGTTCCATGCAACTTTTATCTAGTCGCTATTCTCTTGGCGAGCAGGGGCGAGACGGTCGACCTACGCGTATTGCACCAACAGAATGTACTGTAAGCAAAGTTAATTAAAATCTACAATGCGGATTTGAATTCTTCATACTCCCTTCCAGAGGAAAACGGTCCAAAAACATTCCCAATTCCAGTGGGACGATATAAATTCCTTCAGGGCTCCCGCAAAAATATGCGACAAAATGAATCTGTTTTCCCAGGTCTACCCTGACAAACAGGGTTTCTCTTTAACACAACTTAACTCGATCGAACCGTGCATTAATGGGTTTTACTGAACAAAAACTACTATCCAAATAACATTTGGGGGAAAATTTTTCAAGAAAAACATATATATAAATAATATGTAAAATATGTAAGGGGCCCAATAGCAGGTGGCTAATAGGCACTAATAGGCTGATTTAAAAATGGCAGTTCAGTTGCAGTCTGGTTCTACTTTCATTTCAGACTTAGGTCTGACTTTAGGTACACTGTGCTCTTGTCGACTTTAATCACAAGGAAATGCTAACTGGAACTGCAACTGAACTGCAGTTTGAAATCGGCCATAACAGAACCCATTTAGGATGCATCCTACAGCAGTTTCATACCGGAAAGCAATGGGCAAAAAGCTATAATAATAATAATATTTTTTTTAATGAACAGAAAGCATTTTTTTTAATTTCCCTGCCAGCCTTCACAGATTGGCGAGAACTTTGCATCTATTAAGCCAGAAGTGTTTAGGTCCACGACCTCATTTAGTGGAGGTCAACAACTCACGCCCCTCAGTTTTTCATCGTACTCATTTTCTATCAATTTCAGCAAGATTTTAGAAAACCCGATGGAGAAAGAATCCAGGTCTAAACGATGGCGAAAGTGCAAACACAACGTCTACGGTATAAGAAAAAGTGCCAGAAATTCACCAGCATCCACCACCAATGGAAATCCTATTTTCAGCATGGAACTGGTTAAGTAAGAGTTCCAGTCTGAAACTGGTGCATTTCAGGCAAATTTTATTGCCTTTTTTTCAACACTGTAACTCGTTTGAGAAAGTTCATTCTCAGATTCAACAATGCTACGCAGCTCTTCTTATTCTTCTTCTTCGACATCACCGTTTCTGGTCGTTGCAATACTTTCGCGATTTGTCAATACATGAACATGTGCTACAAAATGATACTGCGTTTCCTGGGAAAGGGAGAAAAGGGATTCAAATTCATTGGGGATTAACTTCTAAACCTGCAAATATTTTAAAGTTAGTGTCATGTCGAGGCTCCTTTGCATTAGTAGCCCTACTTTCATCTGATTTTCAAGTAAGCCCTTAATGAACCGCTTATTCCTCCAGTAGAGATTCTTGACTGAAAAGGCACATTTTTCTTAACGGTGAACATAACATGCTTATACCGACTTCGCAAGGGTATTGAAAGAGATTTGCTGCATCTTCATGATCACCCTGTGACTCATTCGCGACCCAGTTAGATAAATGCTACAGTAAGAGAATGCTTTCATTAGACATCCACGCCAAGTCGAAGAATAGCTGGGAAAACGAAAAAGCAACCGAATCGGCATGGCTCTAAATACCAAGCGGTGAAACAACTGGATTTGCCCAATTCAACTTTAGTCGGCAAAATTAGTCGGTTTAAACAAGCGGGAGGAATCCTACTGAACAAAAATTTCCCTTCCGTACATGCCTTCCTCTTCAAATATATGGCTGCAGCAGTATTTTACCAGAATCGGTAATCGACCAACATTATTCCCTTCCAATACTAAATAGTTTTTCCATCGCTTAAACCATACGGGATATTAATTTCATCCCCCTGATTCAAATGAACCTCAATTCTCCGAAGAGGTCCCGACTGGTTTCACTTGTTTGATGGGCCTAAGCTCGGGTCTAAAGCTCGTAGATACTTTTAGTCATTTGCGGGCGAATTTCTTCGTTCCTCTATCTAAATTGTCGGGGTATATTCAACATAGGACCACAAAGGGTTAATAATGTGACGAAAAAAGACTTAGAAATACCAGGAGGAATACCCTAAGCTCTTTGACGTCGGTTCTGGGCTTCAGGGAATTGAGCATCGTGAATGAAAAGAGCGAGGAGTCAAGACTTACATATGGGTTGTGCGGGGGCGGAGGCGGGTGGTGTGGGTGGTGGTGGTGATGATGTGCATGAGGCGGTGGGAGATGTGCGAGATGCGGAGGCGGCGGTGGCGGCAGGTGAGCGGGTTGCGCCGACAGGATCACGTGTCGCAGGGTCCCGTTCTCGTCCACGATCTGCTGGACCATGTGACCTGGCGGAACCTGGACCGGGACCGGGATCGGCGGCGAGGAGTTCGTCGACACCATCCGCACCGTCGCAGGACCTGGACAGATGCAACCCACCTATGGATTTATGGATGGCATTCCAAGGGCAACCACATGCCTCTTACTCCAAGGTTCTCCCGAGCTTGTCCACTCAATATCGACAGACAACCTCCACTGCTGTTTTCGCAATTAGGGCATAATGTTCCTTGATTTTTGGCACTGCATACACGGGGTGTTTCATGCGTATCAATTTGCACTTGAAATGTCGAGGCATTCCCGAGATACAACCTTTTCGGGCCATTTATGCCTCATCAGAAAATTCCATTCGTCCTAGTTTGCAAGGCCCAAAATGCGGGTGAAACTGGATTACTTTCTGACTGTGCTAATGAGCATATTCGGTATGCAAAACTAAGGGTGGATTTTTTAACAGAGAACTATCCGATAATGTAGCTTTATTCCAGGGAAAATACATTATATTTCCTGGAAATAAAGTAGCATTATCAGTTAGTTCTCTGTTCAAGAATTCACCCTAAATTATTAAAAGGATACCCACAGGAATTCATTTAACAATCCAGCACACCAGCATTCGGATTTAATCACCATCCACATCGAAAAAGTATGATTAAACAAACCGACCTACTACAGAAAACGAGAAACGTGGATAGAAATGTTAAAACCGGTTCTGAATTCCTAGACCCCCCTTACTTGTTCTCACATCTGGTGCTATCCCAAGAGAGTTCGTACGTTTCTCCTCTTCTTATCCATCTCCTTTTTTATTATCTGATTTTTCATTTCATTATTTTCTATTTTCAATATTTTCTACTATTTTAATACTTTCCACACCAGTTCGCCAGCACGTTTAATTCCTCCCATATTCTCGAATCTCTTTCCCCCTCAGACTTGATATTTTATTTCTGACCAGATTTTTTATTCTATGATGGCGGCTTCTCCATGTGAATCTTTGTTAAAGGAAGACTAAACTTTTTGTGGACCTCTTCCGTCTACCCCCATTCGTGGGGGTAGACGGATTTGAGGCCTCTCCCTTTCATTCGCTAAAAGTACTGGTGACACCTAGTTATAAAAGCTTCAAAAGCGTCTGCGCCATATTTCGGTTGAAATAGTACAGGCATTCACGAGCTCCAATTCCGAACGTGCAAGATAACGTATGAAACGCCCCGCTATCGTACATCCAAGGAATGAATACCTTCAATAATTCATTCTTTAGCGTTGGTTGCTAGGTCATTCATAGCAGTCCATTTCTTTCCTGTCCTGTCCGCTCCCTCTCCCCCCTAAATGATCGATGGGTTTCTCCCAGGAGGGAGCAGAGCAACTTCCACCCTCCACCCCCCCCCCCACGCGAGTTATTCCCGAAGGTCATTCCTGACACCTGTCACTTTTCATACAACACTGGAAATTCTCAAGTCAGAACAAAAATCTCGGCCTTGGGGGGGCTCTCCAACTCAGCAGACAATTTATTTTAAAAAAAAATAAAAGCTTAACATTGCACCAATTTCTTAAGAGCAATTCAACTCATCCCTTGCTTCGGGGCCACATCTGTAGGCATCAGGAATCTCAACGATTAACTGATTCATCTTATGTCACGAAAAGTAGGTTTCAATTAACCGCTATAATACTTACCCTTCCCGGTCTCCGACATAAAAAAAAGGCAAGAACTAGAGTTCCTACCTTAACTCTTGTGTAGGACCTATATTACGAGGGAATTCCAACCTAAAACGGTCATGGCTTTTGGTTGAGTTCTTCGAAGAAAAAGCACGATATCATCTTCGTGATAATATGCATCATGGTGCGATCCAATGCTACTACGAATGACAGCTTCGAACTCGCTCACTGATATCGAATATGGCATGTCACAGCTGTCAGAAATAAAGATTTCCTGACATTGTCACAGATGTCACTGCCTAGTTCGTGTGATTCCTTCACACCAACGGAGCAAGAATATTCCGACATAGTTGTACTTAATCCATCGCACATTCAATATCTACCTAAAGCAAAAAAAGTATGAAGGAAGAACTTGGGTTGATTTTGATGGGAAGATACGCAGCCACTGAAAGTTTTGACTAGCAAACCTGTTCAACAATAATGATCAGAATGAGAGTATTTTCACGTCAACACCATCATCTTACATTAAGAGAGAAGTAGGTGCATTTCTGCTGATATGTTGCTTTAAATAAAAAAAAAACGAACTGATACCCGATACCATTCTTCAATATCTTCCTGCCCAAGTTTAACTGACGGCATACAGCCTCCGGTGAGATAATGTATACCTTTCTGAGTGAGCCCAAAGTGACACCGAGATTGGGAGCATTATATTTTCTCCAACACACTTGGAATCAGCAATACTCAGGCGGCGTCATTTCATTAGCATTGAAGAAACGAGATTCAACAACCCTGTCAATAACAGTAAGTTGCTAGGGCGGTATTAATATTTCCCCGTCATCTTATCCCCTCGTGAACTAGACCCGATGACGCATAATATTAAGTTTCATGCTCTCCATCGCTTGGCGTTGGAAAAACCTTTTTTTTTTTAAGGCTTCAGGTTGGGTTAAGATTCCATATTTGTGTTTTTCCCATCACAAGGGAATGTTCCTCACTTAAGTTAAAACGCTAAGCCAAGACTCTAGGAGCAAACTCAGGAATTGCCTACTTCTCACCCTCTAAGTTAACGCAGACTCAGGCTAAGAATTCCTCTCCAGGAGGAATACTTTTAGATTAATATGACCCAGTCTAAATGCTCTCTAAAATGTGATGGAAGTGAGCACCATACCAAGCAATTGTTAGGAAATATGAGCGGGAACCGAATGATGCTGGGGCTTATTCACCCTTACGACCATGTCCTATTATTTTTAAATCATAACCCAAGTTCCCGACCACATATTCAGCAAATGCACGACGTTTTCGCCTTCAGAGCATTTGGCCTGGGAAAGGGCAGTCGAAATATATCCCTCTTCTTTGACTGCTTTTGTATTCGAATTAGAATTAGGTCGGCTTATCGGCACGGGTGAGACATATCTCTATTGTTTCACACACATTAGATTTAGGTTTAAATTTAGGAAAGGCGAGGAAAAGCCCGACAGCGTTGTTCGACAGTGAAATGACAGAAACGTATCACATTCCACTGACTTCGACAAGAATTGGCGCATCAAGGGGCCAAAAAATGACCCAGATTAGGACTTGATCCTTTTAGTGTCTTGTTTCTTTCGTGCACGTCAGGGGTTAAGACTGATCGTTTAAGATGGAAATCGTGACGAAGAGGACACATATATGACGCCATAACGGGAGATGCCACAGACTGACGAAATTGCGATGAAAGGAGTGTTGGTGATTTTGTATTCAAAGGAGCATTCTGCAATGGCTCTCAAGTGCTCAAGCCAGTCTGCGAGAGCTAAGGCATCGCGCCAATCCCTTACAGCAAAACCAGGGCATTCTCATCATGAAACATACAGGCCTTTCTCCTCCGATTCAACACTGGTTTTCAAGGGAGGGTAAAATTGACGTCATCGACAGAGACCCTCCGTGAATCGATCTCTCATCCGATGAAGAACTAAAGAGATCAGCAATGCAAATGCGATCTGCCCATCGAATCTGGGTCTTGTTCCAGATTCGCATTGCTGCACCTTGACGGTGCACCCTTCAGAGCAAGCCTTTCGGGACTTCAAAAATCCACGTCAGCAAGATCTCCCTCTCGATGACGTCAATTTCATCTCCCGCACAGTAATTTTGTTACATCCGATAGTGTCCTGGTAAAAAGCGTCAGAACGATTTTTGTTCCGGTTCAAAACTCAAAGATATCTTCTGCATGCCTAATGCCAATGGTATTGGGTTCGTGAATGAAAAAAATCAGAGCACAAGTTCTTTCGAGAGTTCCTTGCTTCCTGCAGAGATTTACTTCACCTTGGAGCATTCTTGTGTCTATTCAGTTCGGACATAGAGGGAAGGAAAACAAAACCGAGACAAAACATGACATGCAGCATTTTGTGAAGGACAGATCAGGATCTGGTGAGAAAGAAACCCCTCGCAGGTAGCATGGGAAAACAAAAAAAAGGGGAAGAACCTGTCCCCGCTCAGGCGACAGGGCAATGACATCATGGAAAGCATCCCTGAACGAGTCTCTCGTCGACAGGTTCTGGTTCCTTCACCCCATTTCAGAGAATAACCTTTTCCCACTCCCACTGCCACCGATGGGACAGGTGGATGACGTCGATGATGACGTCATGCGGGGGTGGCGGTCCATCGATTCCCCTTCCATTGTGTCTCGCCTTGAATGAAACGAGACTAGGTATTCTCGTAGCCCAAGCCTCCTCCTCCCCCCTTCATCCTCCTCAAATACAACGGGGTCTAAATTCGTGGGTTAGTGAATGGAGAGACTGAAAATGAGTTTGTGTATCTCAATCCATCATAGCATACCACCAACCCCTCGAACTTTTGTTGAAGTGTACAGAACATTTAGTGTATCAAGGGTGTAACAGTATGTGCGCATCTAAAGTTTTGGATGGGTGCTATGCTGCTGGAAAAGGTGATAATTAGGTTACAAGCTGTGTCTGTATGAGAATTCAGCGGTATGTACTTTTCTATACAAGGCAGCTAAAGAAAAAAACAAAACGCTTTCCCTGACAGTCCCCAAGGCCTTCCTCTTAGGGAGGGTATCCCCATCAACAGATATCCACGAGTGACGGACATGAAAGAGATGTCTCAAGCAGACCCTCGGGTGAGTGGGTGACAGGAACCATTCCCGCGAAGTGGAAGTGCTCTCTTCTCCAAGAGAGAGGAGTAAAGAGAGCACACAAATAAACATATGCCTCGGGGGGGAGGGGGGACAGACATGCGAAGGAAGAAGATGGGAACACAACAACTGATGACTTTCCCATATCTCTCTCTCCTCCCCTACATGACCTCATTACGTCAGCGGGTCTAACATTAAGCACGTCTCTGTACTATCCAGGAAGAGAGAAAATATCTTTAATTTTGCCACGGATGCGCAAGGGGGAGGGGTCAAAAGGGCGATGGCATGAATGAATGAATGAATGAATGGAAGCAGGTGCGACGCCCTCCAGAGTCGAGACTCGATTATACCCTACTTTCTTCGTCACTGCGTCACAGATGACTGACGTCCCAAAACTTAATGACTCAATCGCAGAGAAATAAAGAATCGCGGTCTTCGAGGGAGACGCCACCTCTCTGGTACTGCATGCGTATCGCGCGCATTCCCAGAGGCAGGGAACCACTCGGAACGCGAAAATTGAATCTGGTCAAAACCAGGGAGGCCCCGAGGAACAGGTGAGAGGAGGGTAGCGGTTTTCCCCACGCCATTGGGGATTTCTGAGAAATCTCTCGTCTCAGCAGGGAATCAACATTCTCTCGCCTGGGGCTCATTTCCCTTCCCTTCCCTTCACCTGTTGTCTTGGTGTGTCGTCCCCCATCGGGGCCTGGAGGGGAATCTGACAACTATTACAATTTCTAGAAACTTCCTTCTCCCGTCATTGTTGGAAATTCGGAGAGTGCAAGAGGAAGGCGTGAAAAGGCGCTGTTATTAAGGACAGAGGAAGGTTAGAAAGGAAGTCGTTCTTCCTCTCAGGGGGAAACGCCCTTCTCTCTACCTATATGGGCTTGCGAATACTTTTAAAACTAAAATGAGGAATATTATATAAGAAGGGAGCGGGTGGAATGAACATCAAACTAATGAACTTTCTGAATTGAAGACCAATGCAGGCGATGTGCTTTCGTCAGTTTGTTCAATGAATGGCAGGCCTAATTTCTCTCAGACTAGCATATCCTTGACCTTTCTCCTATTCTACACTACCTCTCCCAAAAGATTACAGTATCTTAACATCCTTAGGGAGGAATCAGTCTTTTCCACATAGGCGGTGATGTCGGAGGGTGCTCTTCTTACCGTACTCCGTCTGCAAAAAGGTGGCGGCGACATCGGGGGGCAAGGGGTACCCATACTCGGGATAGTACTCGGCGGCAGGGTGGTAGTCGACTGGAGAACCGTTGTACATCTCCGTACCACCCGTATACAGATCAGCACTGGAGTTGGAGTCCGAAGAGTAACCACTGGTGAGGAGGGTCGTGGTCGCCCCAAGCCCGCTCCCATCGTACGCGGACACCATGGCTGCGATCATCGGGTAATCCCCGACTCCGGCAGGACAATAACCACCGTGACTCAAAGGAGGGAGCGCCGTCTCACTGTCACTACTGCTGCTTCCCGTGCACCCGGTGCTACTGCTCCCCGTACAACCGGGGCTACCGCACTGCTGCTGTTGTTGGGGCGGCTGTTGTGTCGCTTCCGACACCCCGACCACTCCGAACGTAGCCACTTTGAAACTAGTCTCGAGGAACACTATTGGATTCAGGCCGATTTCTCCTGGATATCACTCCGCACACGTTGGAAAAAATAAAAAAATAAAAGGAACAGAGCCTCTTGACCAACCACAAAGGTCTTCTAGGCTACTGAATATCCCATCAGATACTCTTTATAGCTATCTGCTGAGGGAAAAAGAGACTGATGCGTGATCTAGGTCGACTAGGTTCTTCTTCTCAAGACTTCCTATGGGCTAACCGGTACGATATTCCTTCCGATCGATGACGAAATCCCCATTGCAAGCACAAACAAATGCCCCGATACAACCCCGTCCCCACCTTTTAATCTTATCGCTTATGAGAGTTTGTGCAAACAGCGTGGCGTCTCGCCTATTGCCATGAAGAAATCATATTAGCCACACATTATAGTTACTGAAACAGTATAACGACGGACATCGAGCTCGTTGTCACTGATCCAATCAAAGGAATAGCGATCGAAAAGATTTTCGTAACTCAAGGCGAAGGCCTCGAGAAACGGAACTCAACGCGAGCACGTTATAGAACGTATTATCTGGAGGGAGGATTTTTGAGCGGATTGCTGAGGTGATGCACACAAACGGGATCGCCACGAAAAGGCCATCGATGAATATCGAACGATTCCAGGCGTAAAATGAAACGTAGGCCTAGACGGTGTGAGAAGAGAGAACATTCCAACACAGCCGAAGAGAGAGGAGTGCGGGAGGAAATGCCGTGAACAGAAACACGCACTCCGGCCTAGCCCAGCATCCATCCAGGCCTCCCCACGGCCCCATGAGATGGAACACACTCACTGCAGCCACGGTTGCCAGATACCTGTGCCGCCCTCGGGGTCACGTCCCCCCCCCCCCCCCTTCCCCTCTCGGGTAGCTCACGTTTGTTCATCTTCTGACTCTTGCGAGCCCTGAGACAATGCAGTTTTCGAGGATAGGAGGAGAGAAATATGATTGTTTGAGGGCTGAACACGTGAACGCTGAATGCAAGCGCCACGACGAAGGCGATCAGTGATGCCGGATCAGCTCAGCAGACATAACAGTCTCATCAGGAGTCAACAACCCTGGGTCTGGACCCACATCCTGCCTGTTTCTTTTGGACCTCTTCCCGTATCAATGTCGCTCACACCACTTCACGGAGGAAAAAAACCGTGGCACATTTTCTGGCGCCACTGCAATCCGTTCCCTCGATCTGCGTTGCAGGAAGCTGAGAGGATGATGCTGCTAAAATACTGATAGGCCGAGACGTGCCGTCGTGATCGTTCCTTGGCTGATCCAGAGAAAAGCCGGACTTTCTATTAAAGCCCGTGGAAGAGAAAGCCCCGCAGGCAAAAAGCATTATCTCGGCTGACCATTCACTTTTTTCTTCAGAGGCGGCTAAAAAGGAGCGGCATGAATTTATAGGTCCTCTTTCCTTTTCCACATATACATGCACAGACACACAATAAGGTCTTCCCTTTCCCTTCCAAGAATGTCACGTCCGAAAAGTGGCCAAGGAAAAAGGAAACAAGGAAGGCCGGCGTGTCGTAGTGGGAAGTACTTGAATGCGACAGAGCGGCCTTGAAAGGGGTTCTATTCTCACCAGAGATTATTATAACTGCACCCGACTTCCTTTTCCTACTTCAAGGGCCTTCATCAAAAACGGATACAACGCGAGATCGACGGGAGGGGGGTCCATCTCCATCTTCGTGTACTTCCTGGCAACAGGGTATCCTGGGGGCGGGGGGGGGGGGGGGAGAGGAAAATGGGGGCAAGTGAAGCGTGTCGAGAAAACCGCAATGGGACTGGGGTATCTGACAACCGTGCCTGTCCAGCAGGTCAGAATGGCGGTCACAGAAGACATGAAGGAAAGGGGATGGAACATATGGCCCCGTGGTCTTATCAGGTTGTGCTCTAGGATTACCCCAAGACGACTGAAGAAGAAACTGAGGAAAACCAACGTTACTATGAGATGCAACACATCTCGCTCTTCCCTGAATCCCCTCTTCCTCTCGCTTCCACGGAATCAGGAACTAAATATAATTTAAAAAAAAAACAGCGAGAGGGAATGTGGGAGGTGACTCGCCTTCCAGGAAAATCAAGCTTGGGGATCCGACAGCATTGGCACCGGTATTCCAGGACCGGGAAGGGGATAGAGATAGGAAATAAGGCCCCGAGGGGGGGAACTAGTTGATGCAATGGGCACCGAATACCCCCGCTGGCAAGGTCATCCTCCTCCACCACATCGTTTCATTGGGGCATTCTTATATCTCAATGTATCTCATCATCCCTAGCATTTCAGCAAGAAATATGTTCTTTCCAGGACCTGCGACCTCGAGGCCTGGGAGGAAGGAACAAAAAAGAGGGCGATGGCAATGAATGGGGCAAGGATCAATGACGTCAGAATGATGTCACCGTGGGGGAAGGGGGAACGGCCGGATCCCCTTTTTCCTTCCCTCTCTTCATGGGATAGAATCATCCCTTTCACTAGAGAACATGGATGTGGGTCAGACATCCCGATAAGAGCCGGCCAGACGCCGATCACACCAAAAAAAGGAAGAGTCTTCGGCTGGTCTTCGGAAGGAAAACTTGTTCGGCCAGGGCGAGAGAAAGACAAACCTTCCTTTCACCCGTCTGGTTCGTGCTATAAAAAGGAGATTTCGTAAGCTCCCTATGCTTCTCACACACTCTCTCTCAACCTCCGGGGTGGCAAGCATAAATTCAAAGAGTAACATAAAATAGGGACCCTGCATTGAGTCCATCAAGACGGAGTACCCGGAGTACGAGGATTTCTTTACGGTCTCTTTCCTCAGGCACGAGGGTCCTTGTTCCACTTTTTTTCCTCTCTCTCGTGCGCCGTGAAGGAAGGCGGACGACGTCATACGTGAAGGGAAAAAAGGAAAGATGGCCGCCTGCATCCAAGTGGAGAATCTGGGACCCTCTGCCCGCTCCAGCGGAAACAAAAAAGTCTTAGACTTCCATTTCTCATCGCATGCATCTCAGCCATTGAAATGTAGGAGCGGTTCTGCACGTCGGTCAAAATGCAAATTTATCCGTTTCCCGCTAGTATGTTATCCCTTTCCATTATGCCGTTTCGACATCATTCGAGTTCTCAATTCTCGAAGGCGGAAGCTCGATTAATATTGAACAACGAATAACGAACGACGTCCTTCATAATAATCCTGAAATCTCTTAAATTCCACAGGTCTCATGACGGGCGACTCAAAAGCAAAAACAAAAAAGAACTCCGAATGAAGATTTGTCATACTTCAACATAAACGGGGAAGCCAAGGGGCACGGAATGAAAGAGGTGGAAGGCAGCAAGGTGGGGTAGAGGAATCCCGATCGGGGATGGGGTTACCCGGTCCGTGCAGGACTCCCCTTGCAGCGAACTGGGTGAAAGGCATTTTCGCATATCCGGGATGAAAGCAACGATACCGACAAGAAACAGGAACATGGATTTCTCTTTCCCCCCCCCCCTCTCGCCCTCGCCCCCCCTCTTCTCTCTCCTCTCTTTTCTCTCACACGCACGTACGTACAGCCTATCGATGGACAGACAAACAAACAAACCCAAACGTACGCACGGACGCACTCATACAAGAACACAGATACCTGTAATTCTAAGTTAGACCGAACCGGGCAAATAATAGCGCATGCACGCGTGGGGAGAAAAAGAGGATCCAATTCCTCCTTCAAGGACAAATCTTGCAAGGACGCACGAGGAGGCTTTTACCTTATATCCTTCTTTCCCCGATTCCCTAAAATAAATTGCAATGTTAGAAACAGGGTGAAGCTTTAAAAATGGCGGAAAGGGGGAAAACCGGTGACCACCACGGACAACCTCACAGACAAGACGGGAAAGACTGACTTCAGAAGGGAAGAGAAAAAAAGAGAGAGAGAGAGAGAGAGCGCTACTTTGGAATGCGGTCAAAGACTTACATAGAGGGAGGGAGAGAGAGAGAGAGAGAGAGAGAGAAGTCAACAACCCTGAGAGAGTGGAAGGGCCGCGGGGGATCCGGCCGTGCCAGTCAACGGGGCCTTCCTCCCTCTCCCAGTCCGTCGCTTCTCCCCATTTTCCCTTTTATCGTTATATTCCCCCCCTAGAAAGACTCCTCAATGTTATTATAATCCTCGTCCAGTCTTGCCATTAACAACCGGAGAAGGGATGCTTTACGGCCACGGAAACCGTCCAACCATAGAGCAAACGTGCGCCTGCATCCGTGTCGACGTGGCACGTCGGAGCAGCGACACGACAGCGGTGAGAGCCGGGGTCGATCGACGTTAACGCACTCTGGCGTGAGGACGGAGAGGCACACGAACGCCCAACCATTCGCTCGATGTCAATCGCGATCTTCCCGGGCCTCCCTCACACGCAGCTGGTCTCGCGTCGCCCTGACGGTTACGGTTGAGTTGGAACTATTAATACTCGAGAGATAAGATGCAATGAGTATTGAATTCGCCATTTCAGTCAGGAATCACTTTCAGGTCTCTTTGCTAAACATAGCCACTATTAATAATCATATAAATTGATGAGTTGTCATATAGCTTGCCATTTAGGAACTACAAGCGCGCAAACAAACTCGCTGCGCTGCGAGGTGCAACGGAAATTTTATTTATTAACATAGAGGAACCCCCCTCCACAACTTTGTACTTACCCTCCAAAATGTTGACTCTTTTGGGGGGTCTGTAGTAATGAATAGGCCAAGTATGTACTAAATACAGTGGCATAGGGAAGGGGGGAGGGGGTTCTAACCCCCTAAACCCCCCCCCCCCCCTTTTGGGCTTCCCGGTCAATGACACTGACAGGCATATTTCAACCTTCCTTGGGAATTCCAATTTTAGCTATGCCCCTTCGAAGAAAGTCTGATGTCCGTCCACAGACCCAAGATGCCAGACCATGATTTCTTTGAAAAGGTAAATTCCGGGTAGTGGAGCTAGGCGTATGGTTGGGGTATCTACCTGGCTTCAACTCCCCCTTGCCGATTTCCTGTCTATGCCACTGACTAAATATGTACTAAATAAGGTACTCCGGGGGGTTCGAATTTTTAAACGCCACCTAGCTTATGACCATCCCCGGACCAAAAGAGGAAGTCATGCAACGTTTGGTCGGACTGGGATCAGAGGTGAGGCCGTGCATCAAGGACAGACACACACACAAACACTCTGAAATATAGTATAGAGGAAGATAGATATCTGGATGGATCCCAAGTTTTAATAAACGCGACTCGTATTATTTACCAGGTTAATCGCAATGTTTCAATTAGGGCACATACAGGTGACCGGAAGAGTTAACGAGTAAATGCATTATAAGGCAATCCAGCTCAAGGGGTCAAATTTCAGGAACTTTCATTGTGTATTAGATAGAAATTTTGCTTAATAAAATTCATCCATGGTTACCTCCCTGACAATTTTTTTTCATCCAAAACTTTTACGCTCTAACACAAACGGTTCTTGGGCTACTCAGCCCCAAAGCTAGCCTCCTGGGGAAAAAGTGACCTATGGGTCAAACGGCTATCTTTGTTCCTAATTGAGCGAGAAAAGTGTTGTTGGGCTGAAGTGAAAGCTGAGACAAAGCTGAATCAGACTTTATTGGGGCACTTGAATTCTTTGTTACAAAGAAGTTGTGAATTTTACAGTGAAAATTTTCGAACAATGAGAATCACGGTAAAGCAATGAGCATTTGCTACAAAGCAATAAATCCAATAACAAAGGAAATAGGTACCAAGTAACTTGAGTCTAGCAACGGCAAAATAAATTTGAAAAGTCCAATTCTGCCGTTTTTCCCTCCGACGACTTACATCTCCTGTTTTAAACTAGACAGAAATATGAAACTAATGTGCAAATAAAAATAAAGGCTTTCTCGAAGCTCTTTCAAGCGATGTGTGGTGTTGGTTGGAATTCCCGAGTTTGTGTGATTTTTTTGTAACGGAGAACTTTCTTTTTTTTTTCTCTTTGAATATTTTGCGCAACTTTCCAACAATGGGAATTTTGATGACGCAACCAGGTCTGGGTCTATTTCGATCCGAGACAAATGAACAGGTTTGGTTCCATTTTTTACTTTGCTTCAAACACATCAGGGAAATAAATAGTGACATTTCACCAACTCCCGTCATACCTGTTCTTTTTTCTGTTTCGTACATCCTTGAATGACATGCCAATGAACTATATTTCTTTTTATACTGCGAGGAGTTGAGAGTCAAATCACTTTCCTAGCTTCAACATTTAGTACCATGTGTATGCAATCTCAAAAAGTGGTGAAGTACTACAAGGTACTAAATCCTGAACCTGACGAAATCATTGGACCGTGGATTTCCTGATGGCTTTGCAACATTAACCAAGTACACACGATGATGTTGGTCTCCATTAGCCAAGAAAAAACACGCCAGAGCAAAAACTTGTCAGGCGGCATTAAATTCTACTATTAGGGAGTTTTGGTTGCCCGTTCTTGAGAGGACGGCAAGGGATGTGGGACGGCTGACGTCGCCAGCAGTTTTAAAACGCGTGAGGAAGACGTCGAAGACGTGGAGGGGCTCTTCCAGCCGTTCTCCCAGGAACGTGATCGCGACGTAAGATCTACCAATCAAGAACGACTTGATAGTCACGTGAGCTTCGGTACAGCGCGTGATAGATGCGTGATTCGTTTAAGTCAGTCATCCTGGAAGGAAAGCTACTATTGATGGCGAAGCAGCTGACATTCAAGGTATAGTATGCCCAGGCTGGGTTTCTAGACAGCTATCTCGTGTCTGCAGCATGGGTTTCCCGATCAATAGAAATGTAGGTTTTGCTCGAGATGGGTTTCTGGACAATTGTTTCACATCCACAACTTGGGTTTCTACCCAAATATCCCCCAGGACAGCAACTGACATGTCTTCTTCGTCATCAGAGGAGTAGGATGGCGACTGCGTAAGGAGCGCCAAGTGAAGTGTCTGGAAAGAGTTCACGTGTTTCACCCTCATTCTTCCAGCAATCTCAGTGTGGTCAAGTGAAGTGTAGTTTCAGAAGGGAGAAGGATACCCTGCAGAAAGTGCCACCCACCCAACGGTGAGAACTGTCGTGCTTGGTCCGGGCATCAAAAAACAGATCAACCTGTCTGTGCCGTATGAACCCGGCATGACCTTCTGCAGGGGCGACATCTATCCTACAATCTCGGACGTGAATGGTCTATGTGAACTACGATAGAGGACCTATTGTATCACTGGCAGCTTTTATTAATAGCCAACGAAGGTCAATTCGACTGGGACGACTATCAGACTCTTGAAGAACCTACACCTTTGCTCGTGAAAGCATCAAGAATGGCTAAAGCGAAGAAACAGGAAGATATTCTGAACGATCTCCTGAAAGAAGTGAAGGCCATAAGAACGGAGATGAAGGAATCGACGGAACAGATGAAAGAAGAATTCAATAAGATTGCAGATCGCCTGCAAAATAAGATTGTGGGCATGGAAAAAAAGCAAGACGAAATGGAAATGCAATTGAAGGAAATGAAGGAAGACGCCGATGCAATGAAGAGAGAGAAGGCCCTACAAGGAAGTCGTGGGAGGACAGAAGTCCGCGACCTGGAGGCCCGGTTGGATCGCTTGGAGATGTTATCTCGAAGGAATAACGTCATAGTCCACGGGCTAAAAGAAGAATCCGGAGAAACAGAGGCCGAGATACGACGAAAGTTGGAGGACGTATGGGTCAACAAGCTGGGACTCAATCCCCCTCCTGACGTCACCGTAACCCACCGCATTGGACCTAGGAGAGGCCCGAAAGACGAAACCAAGCAGAGGCCAATCGCGGTTACAGTGAAAGATTGGCAAGGAAAAATGCAAATACTCAAAGCCAAGAGGGAGAATCTAGACAAGTCAAGCTCAGATGTTTGGATCACGGAAGACTTCCCTATAGCTATCCGGGAAGCCCGGAAGAAACTCATTCCCATTATGATTGAAGCCCGAAAGCAAGGAAAAGACGTCAAACTCATCCGAGATAGGCTTTACATCAACGGCAACCTACATGAGGGGCAAGATGAAAAGCCTCAGGAAGTAAAGGTACTGAGTAAAAGACGCGAGCACGCAGTATTTGCAGATCCGGCAGCTGAGACAAGAGCCCTACGTTCAACATTCAGAACAACACAGATGGGACAAGAAAGCAGAAGAAAGGGAGAACTAGACAAGTACTTCCGCCCGACCCAAAGGAAAGAGAACGCTAAGCGCACGAAGGATGTAGCCAGGATGGATCCCCAGGAGGGGAGGACAAGCATAGGCGAAGTCAGGAGAGAGTGGGATCAGGGCAGCGATACTTCCGAAACGCATAGCCCGCCGCCTTCGAGGGATGAGGAAAAGGTGGATGATGAATAGGAAAAGGGGAGAGGCCCATGGCAGTTCCAGGTAGGGGAATGGAACGTGAATGGCCTAACGGACAAATTTGATAAAACGTTCATCAACTTCGCGAGAAACTTCCACGTACTTGGATGTG